CTAAACAAAATAGTTCCAACGACTTAATTTTCGCGAGGACGTAATGTTTGCGAATTTTGCGATTCGAATAATATCACGAGAAATATATCCCGCGAATATATTTCCCATTGTTAACAAACACACACCACCCCACTTCGATTTACGAAAATGCGTGTTTGCGGAATATTCCCTTGGCAAACTTCGTGAAAATTCCAGCCCGCGAAAGTATCGTCGTTTACAGTAAGCGAAATCTGAAATAATTGCAAGTGGTAACTTGCGCTCTCGAATATTTCATAGGAGAGTTGGCTTGCTAGCATTATTGAACTATACTTTTTTTACTTGAGCCTTCCGGCAGTGTTTACTTACGGCTCTCAACTGAGCTTTGAAATATTACATGAAACTGTTCAAGACTGAATTTAAAAGCAGTTGAATATATGACACTGGATAGAAATAGAAAACCAAAATCTGGTCAGATGTCACGCCACAGAAAACTGTTGTATATGCAGTTCCGCCTGTTTCATACCCTTGCCTTTTATTATGTATTTTAGCTTAGATACGACAATAGGTCATACAAATGTGTTCTGGGCCTTATAAATTATCGTGGGCTCGCCTAGTATGAAAGAGGTTCCCAAGATGACGTTGCTGGATGTCTCCCTAACCTTCGATTCAACGACATTGAAATCAATTGCAATTTGCTATTCCCTACACCTGTTTTCACCAACGATCCACCTATTCTGCAAGGTCGGTAGATCGTCAGGTCGTCGTTACTAACTTTCCATGTAGGCATTATAAACCGATATATTTTTTTTCTTCTTCCTATTTTGAGATGCTTTGTTGCGCGCTTATTTGATAAATGATTGTTTTTTTGTTTTGTTTTCAAGAAATGCAGATTCGTTTTCATACGAGCGGTGCTCCATGTTGTGTTTGTGGGCTCTTTGGATTTACTGGTATCACGTGATTCCTAGAATTTCAAACGCTGAGAGGGGTGCGTTCAACGCGAATATGCTTTTAATTGTATCACTGTACGTGATTCGATGAAGGCCCTTTCATGTAGTTTTCTGTTGAGAACGAGTCCATAATGCCGTTCCAGGATCTCTGTATTTTGCTTCACTTGACTTAAGAAAAAAAAGAAAGTTTCGATGTTATTTAAAGATAGGGACATCCCAATGTAAGACATCTGCCTGTCATCATATGTGTGTAAATGTCTTAGCGCGAAGAACATTTATGTGCTTATGAAACATTATCGTTTTATTTTATGTAGGATCTGATATTGCGCCAGTTTCTTTAGGGTTTCAACAATAAAACTGCGTGATTGTTTGGTGCTTGAACTAATGCTAATGCAATTAACGCTTTACAGCAGATGATACCGCCAACTATATTGTTCGCGCGCCTTCATTAACAGTCGATTGCCCCTTGCTACCTTAAGCTCTCTTAAATCTTATTTCCACGTGCCCAAATAGCGAATTAGGTCCGTGTCCTCTTATAGACCACTAGTTGTTTGACTTACCTCATGCGATGCCAAGTTATATAGAAACTGAGTCGAAAACGCAAGACCTCAAGCGTGAGTGACTATAATAATAATTCCCAACGTTACAGGATATTTTGTCGTTTTTCGGGGTCTTTTAGAAGCAAATGATTCAAATATGCGGGTGAATGAACCGTACTAATCGAATGGGAAGTAAAATTTTAAAGCCGCCGAAAAACAACACTTGACTGAGCCAAGAGTCCAGGTCAACTGAATATTGGTTTTTTAGGCTCATGCATCTCAGTATTTGGATCAATAACGCCTAGATACTGATGGACTCGCTGTATACACCACCCGACGTGGAATTTAAACTGACCAAGTGCAGGGTTGCGGATACTTTGAGCCGATCTTCGTACCACTTTGCTTGCCCAAAGACGTGACGACATTCACTTACTGCGGTTCTGTGTTCTGGAAAGCGTAAGAACATCAATAATAAAAAAATAAAAAAACTCAATAATCTTGCGTAAAAAAAAAAGCTCATTTTAGTTTGTCTTAGGACGCAGCTGTTAGTACAGAGTGTTAACGGTTTCACGAAGATGACGACAATCTAGTGCCAAAAACTCAGGAGTCTGACATTCGTGGCTTAGAATGACTGTCCCGCCATTCAGTGCTCATGCCGAACTCCCTGGTTAGAACGTTTTAAAATACAGTTGTCGTAGTACCGTTACCGTCTCCGCTGTATCTGAACCAGAACCGGAACCTACTGCGAAGACGTGTCAGCCAACCGTGATCTCGCGATTTTGTTTCCCTGCGACGCTGTAAAAGACAACTGTTATCCTGGTTACACGGGCACTCTTAACCACAGTTAAAAATCCCTTAAAGAAAAAAAAAATTTTTTAGCAGTCTAGTTAAAACACGAGTGTCAAAAAACGAATTTTACGGAAAAAAGATATTTGAAGCAATATTGACGGCGCGAGATTTATTTTGAGTTCTGCGCGCAAAGTCCATGACGTCATGGAATGGTCACACACCCTTTCCACCTCAAAGTGATGGCCAGGCCGTTCCAGCTTTTCTCCTCGCGCCCGAAATGCCGAGAGAAAACAAGTGGAAACGAGGTGACCACGGACTAAATGGCGTCTCGCGCCGTCAATATCGCTAATTTTTTTTTTTTGCCTACAATTTTTTTTTTATTTGCGTTTCCCAACCAGACTTTTTAAAATATTTATTTTTTCAGGGGCCCTTTAAAGGGATACTGAACCGAAATTTGAATTTCGCAAAATAAGGCTCTAGAAGCGTTGAACGGGACTCTACGAACTCCGAAACATTGCTCGTAGATCGATATCTCAAACGGATGGCCGCACTTTTCGAAAAGAAGGGCGCGATCAAGCGAGGCCTCTGACATCACTGTCCTCCGGGAGAATTTGAGAATGAGGGGGAGCGGCCTCGCTTCTCTCCTCCTCGCTTCGGTTCACCAGCTCGACACGGGACGTAGTGAGGAGGAGAGGGAATAAGAATCGTGACGTCCCTTGCCTTGTCGGCCTCGTCGGCCGGGTTCAGTCGGGCGCTTCTTTTCTAAAAATATGGCGATCCGTTTGAGATATCACTGTATGAGTGATGTTTTTGGGTTTTGCATCGTCCCGCCTATCTGTCCAGCCTTGTTTTGTGAGTTCGAAATTTCGGTTCAGTATCCCTTTAAGGGGGATTGAGGTCACACTTAACTGTGGATAAGGGTGCCCGCGTAACAGTATATAAAACGTTTCTTCGCAGTAGGTTCTTTGTCTAGTTCCGGCACTGATATAATGGTTACAGTAATACAGATGCACGTGTTATGGTAAGCTGTATAGACTATTTACTATAAATGTCCCTGAGGTAGGAATATGATCATTTTAGGAGACATGCTTAGTGCTTAAAGGGATACTGAACCAAACATTGCAGTGTCATAATAAGTGGTGCATGATCTTTCCACGAACGAGCAGCCGTCGGTGTGCGCGAGCACACGCAACGAAATTGACGTCATAGGCCCCCACTCACACTTAAAGGTCCGTTCACACTCTTGCAACCGAGTACGACCGAGAGAGACCAAACCGGTTTTTAAGCCTCTTGCGATCTCTTAGGACCAGCTCCGCTCAGCGCATCCGGTCCCAAGAAGTCTTTCTTGGTCGTACTCGGTTGCAAGAGTGTGAACGCGCCTTAAGATGACAGTAAAACGCATGCATATCCGGGCAAAAAAAAAAGAATAAGGACAGGTTTTTTATCCCCAAAAGTAGAAGCTACGTGCTTGTTAGACCAATCAATCGCCTACTTTTTTACACTAGACCCCACTATGGAGATGAAGCCTGTCTTTATTCTCATTTTCCCCGGAGCCCATACATTCCACTGTCATGTTAAGCGTGAACGGGGGACTATGACGTCAATTTCGTTGCGCGTGCTCGCCCAACACCGACGGCTGCTGGCTCTTGGAAACATCGTAAGCCACTCATTATCGAGACTGGAATGCTTGGTTCAGCATTCCCTTAAACGGATTTTCTCTATATTCTTTTATCGCAAAAATAAATTATAAGTGCCTAACAATTCGCTTAGCTGCTTTTGACTATCAAAACGGTTGACACCTCGAGTTTTTATACAAAAGGTTTCAACACTCGGGCTCATTTTTAAGGCAGTGTGGTGTAAATAATGAAAACAAGAATAGCTGTTTTTTTTAATCCAAAAATGTATTAAAAAAAAACCAGAACGGGAGACTCTTTTTTCTTTTTTAAATACTTAGTTTTGTCAGAATGTATTTATATCAATTTTGAAACTATACTTTAGAATGAGACTAACATATGTTACCGGGCGTAACTTGTAGGTTAGCAGTGTCGTCGTCCTACAGAGTGTTCTTGAGCGCTACTCAATCTTCATAAGAGCCATGTAAAAAAAGTAAGCCATTGAGCGGAGCAGATTAAAACTTTTTTACAACGTTATCTTAAGGTGGTGCATTTATTAAACTCGAGATTCGTGACTATTTAAACACTAGTTTCGGGAAAAAATATATAGAAGAAAAATCTTAATATTCCTCTGCACAGGGAGAAAAGCGAAAGCAACCATATTTAGTTCACCCTGCTGCTCGCAGATGGCACCCCTCACGGTCCTATCTGCTGGATCTGCTTTAGAGTGCTCACCTCGAAGAAGATTTTTTTTCTTCTCTCACATGGTGCCATCTGTGAACGGCAGCGCCAGCTAGACGATATGATTCCGTTTCTTTTGTTCTTTTACTTATTATTTTTTTTTGCGAAGGAATAAAACGTTTTTCTTTTCTTGCGTTCTCTGTTTTTTTTTTGTTTTTTTTTTGTTCACAGGACATTGTACCGAAATTTCTGCATAATAAATGCGCCCTCCGAAAAGAGACACCTTTATTGAAAGTTTTTAATTGCACTGCGTTTATTGGCTTATTTATACGACTGAATAGTGTTCGAGCAACACCGTGTAGAGATGCGCACTGTCTCTAGTTAAGCCTTAATGTATATATTTTTGTTGCTGGTGTCGCCATGTCTCCTGATTGTTGGTGTTTTGTTTGTAGGAGGGGCCCCCCGAAACGCTGGCGTTACAGGTAGCCCTTGACAGCAATGTAAATAGCTATCTAGCGTACGCTTCGGTTTTCGAGGAGGTGAGTCGGATCGCCAGCCTCTTTCTTCTCTGTCTTGCGCGCTGTGTTCGCTCTCTCACGGGGCGGCACCTCCGCTCCTCACTGAGCTCGGTAACGGATACACGCCCAGCCATCCGCAACGCAAGGCTATGCGCGACCCAGGTTTATTCGTTACCATGTCTTTCCTCTCTTTGTCAGCGGAAAAAAAAAAAACCTATAACTTCAAATAAACACCCGTTATCAGCTGTGGCAGAACCTTGCGTTGGGTGTACATCAGTTGTCATGTTTTTTTTTAAATATAATATAAAAAGAAACAAAAAAAAAAACTCTATCCGTTACCGAGTTTAACGTAAGGGGGGCCCTCACTTGAAACATTTGTGTTTTATATTTATTTAATTGTACAAAATGACACTGCTCATTTTTTTTCTTCTTTACATTCAGGTTTTTTTTATTATTAAGCGTTACGTGCGTTTTTGCATTGTTTCTATAATGCTAAAGCACTTTAGTAGAAAACAAAAAAAAAATCTTGGAATTTGGAGAATTTAATATTTTTGTTGTGATTTTTCAACTCTTTCAAATTCAGACACTGCGAGATGGCACGGGCAAATAATTTAATAACAAAAGCGCAAATGATATAAAACATTATAAGGCAACACAGAAATTGGAATAGACGATAACGATAAAAAATAAAAGCGAATGTCTGGTTATACAGCTTATGACAAACTTTTGTCACATGGTTAACTGTTTTAAGGCAACTTTTGAGATGCAGAAAAAAAAAAGAGGATACGATAAAGGCAATTAAGCAACAGAAGAAAAAGAAAATAAAACACATATAAGCGAGGGCTAGAAAAAAAAATAGCACCCTTTTCTTTCACTGAGATGGCATAGAGAACTAGAGAAAAAGAACCCGAGAACGAGGTTTTATAAAAGAAAGTAGACATTGATAGAGGTCATCATAGACATGTAAAACTCATATATTCCTCTCCAAAAGACGCATTTTGAGATATTTTTAGGTATCAAAGCTCCTTAACAAACAAAAGCGTGGTGAGCCGCTCGTTAATCTAAATGTCGAGTTTCTGGCCACGCGTCGCAATAAAAAGAAAAGTAAGCAACGAAAAGGGAAGGAGAAGCGTTCTTGCTCGCACGCGACAGGACCTGTTTCTCTGTGTGTGTGTGTGTTTGTGTTGCTGCCTGGCGCGCATGTTGCCTGCACGCCGCAGTCTGTGTAGTCTGCTGATAGATCACGATGCATTATTGCCGTGGCATGATTTCGGCACGCATGCGTAGTCTGATCTCTCTTGCCTTTGTCCGCTTTCTGGAGAGCGGGCGCCGGCTGTTGTGCCACCGACGTCGCGAACCGCATTGTCGGCCTTCTGTCGTTTCTTTTTTTCTTCGGCTAAGGGTAGCGGTTTTAGACGGCGGCCATCTTACGGACGATGTTTGTAAGCCGTGTTTAAGAAAACGGTCCTTAACTAAAGTAAGTTTAGATTTATTTCGCTTTATTGTAGTTTTCCCGCTGAGACAAAACAATGTTGTTTCCATATTGCTAACTTTGTAAAAAGAAAAGAAAAAAAGAGGAAAAGAGATGAGCTCATAACAATTACTCTTGTGTAGAAATATCTTACATCTTAAGTTTTCTCTCACATCCAAGGGCGCAAGTCTTTGCGATGAGTGCCGCTTTTTTTGAGGCGTTTCTTTTTATTCTCTAGACGTAATTACCCAAGATTGCTCAATGCAGTTTGAAGCGGTAATTTTCCTATATTATATTTTTATTTTATTTTATGCTTCGTAACTTTAACACTTCTTTCAACCATCATGAAATCAAGGAAGGTTTAGCGAGCGAGGCACCGCCTAAGTCCAATTACGAACCCCCCGAAAGAACGCAAGAATTAAGATACAGCGCGTCTTCAAGATGGCTACGGTATGGCTAAAGGCGTATAAGAGGACTTTTCAGTAGAGGTCACGGCGACGGCCGCGTTACAAATATACCCATCAGCCACAATGTCAAACAGTGTCGTTTGTAGGTGGCTGTTCTTATTTCAGGTGTCAGCCTGAAAGGCAAAGGCTGGTTCACAGACTCACACAGCGCAGCTTTAAAGGGAAGCTACGGAGCTTCTTGAAAAAAATGAGTTAGAAGTGAATTCTAGTGTATTTTTACCCCGTGAACCCGAATACCCAAACCATTTGCTGCGTAAGTATTGTTAAACGCGAGAAAAACTCGAAAGACAGTCGCTGTCCGTGACGTCATCGACGGCTCTTTTGGCTGCCCAAGGCTAGGGGGGCGGGGCTTCAGCCCTATTTTGAAATTGCTCTTGTGGCTCTCCGGCGCGTCGCATTGAAATATAATTTTGATATCTGTTATTCTAAAGGCCAAATTAACGCAATGCATACGTTTTTTCTCAAATGTAGAAGTGCCCCATCTTCCCTTTAAGTGAGAATCAGCGCTGATGCAGCCCCCAATCGAACCTGATGCAGCGCTCTGTGTCAGCTCTGTATCAGAAACGTCAGGGCTGTTTCCAGCGCTGTTGCGATTGGTTCCCTCTGATATCTATCAAACGATAAGATTACGTTCACATTGAGATGGACATCCCTTATTTAATATTATTATTTTTTTTTTGTTATTATTGTTATTATTGTTATTATTTGGAGAGGGGCTATTGTCGGTTTTTCCTGCCACGAAGATCCCGGTGCTCGCCACGTCCAATCTTTCTTATGTGTTTATGCTGAAGCTTAAAAAACTCAGTTCGTGCCTTATTACGCCTCCCGCTTCGTGATCGGCTCTTCGGAGTCCTTGTCGGCTAATGCAGCACTTTCATTGGCCGGAAGCGAAGGCGAGTTGTTCGGAACACTCTTCGCCCTGCGTTCCCTCGAGTTTCAGTTACTACAGGATATTCTATGATGAAGTTGCTTTGCCGTCCACATTATTCGCGAAATTTTCTCTCTTTTTATTATATGAAATTAGAAATTTATTCGGTATTTATTTTCTGTCCGCATGACGGGGAAGAAATTACTCGAAGCAAAGATACGCAAACGCCGAGCAGCGTCGGATATATGAGAAATGAACACTCCCTCGGTCAGTGTTCTGAGATGGACTCGGACCTGGTTGAAGCCGCCGTCGCGCTGCTAGTGCTAATGCATCGTTCGCAAGAGACAGTCAGGAGGCACTTTCTGCTTTCCTTGTAAGGACAGTCCTGCGACGTTGGCCGCACAAAAACTGCCTTCAGCAGTACTTCGAAACTTACATACGTAGGAAGCAAACGCGTGCTTCGAGCATGCTTCGGGCGTCACGGCAGATAACTCTGAGGTCGTGTTCGCAGCGAAGACCGTGTCTTTTGTTCGACGTACGGTCGGGGTGACTGCCGCTTAATAAAAGGGTTAGGTCACGATCCTTGAACGTGTAGGGTATTCTTGAAATGGAATTCTCACGGGCTACTTAGTATATATACATACACGACGGTTCGCGATTTTCAGAGCTTTATATAGAAATCGCAATAATCAGTTTACGAACGTTGTTCATTTTCGTGCCGGCAACTGTCCCGTTCTAAATACGGCCCCCACGCTCGGCCACGCTCGCCTCGCCGCGGTGCGATCGCTCAGTCTCACGATGGTCTCGGCTACTCCCCCCCCCCCCCCCCCCCCTCAACCTATAAACTCTTTCCCTTGCAAACGCCACGAGGTGGTGATCCAGTCTTCGACCGAAGCTGACGCTGAAAAGTACGGTACTCGGTGCACTAGGGAGTTTTAGGGAACCGTTATCGGACATCCGATGCGATCTGCGCATGCGCTGCCACACACGGCTCCCATACGCGCACATTATACCGGAGGCCTTATCGTACTCTATCGGATGTGCAAGAACGGTTCCCTAACACTCTATTCACGACGACCCCCCCCCCCCCCCCCCCCCCCCTTTGTCGATGCGGACAGCACTGCTGTTGCGCGAATCAGACGCCCTTAATTAGCAGATGGCCGCCGTAAATTGGGATTTTGGGTTTTTCTTTTTTTTTCATATCTGACTTTTTGCTCGGATGGGTTTGTTCAGTGAAGTTTTTATATCATTAAAATAAGGATAAAACACTCCTTAAGGAAAAAGAAAAAAAAAAGAAGGCGAGTTAGATGTGATTTTTAGAATATTTCTTACCCGTGAATCTGAATACCTCGTTCGTTTTCTCCGAAGAAGTAACTAAACGCGAGAAAGCGCGAACAAAACTTCGACCAGACGTGACGTCACATTCGGATCTTTGGGCCGCCAAGCGCGTGTCGCTTGTGTGGGCAGCGCGAGCAATAGCAAGCTTGCCAGGTATTGGGCGGGAGATCTAACTATAGGGGGCGCTTTATCGAGCTTGTTGGTCCCCACAGCCCGGTGTTTACTAACGCAGCATAACAAAGAAATTGAACCTCGCCTAGCACGGTCTTGGCAAGAGCGCTCCGCTCTGACATCTGCTTTGGTCGCACGAAGAGTAGCCTTCGAATCGTCATCTTCGATTTCTCGGATCGAAAACAAACAAGGAAATGCGGTTTGTTGTCCCCACAGCTGAAGCGTACTGCGAGAGGCTCGACTGTTCGATCTCCTCCTCAGTATTCCCCCGCACGGACACCAATCGCGTCGTCTCTTGCTAACCTTTCTGAAAATAGCGAGATCGCGCGTGCATAGCTTTGTTAGGCGCTGAAGATGCGCGAGAGCGTATAGACTGTTCCATTAGGGTCATAGCAGAGAGGGTAAAAGAGAAAAACAAATGCACTCCCCCTCTCCCCCGCAAGCCGTCCGCTCCGCCGAGTGGGCTGTAGCTAGCGTCCGGCTGGCGTGCAAACTCTGTTTAAATTAATCGCGTCATTTTGGAACTTTCAAGCGCAGATGCGCAGATTTTAGGATGCCAGTTATCGTGTAATACTATGCTAGATAAAACGACTCACAGGGTCAAATTGCACTGTTACCTGCGTGCAAATAAAAAACAAAAATAGGGAAAACTGTGTCAGATTGGCCGGTCTCTTTGGCGAAAAGAAAATCCGGTTGCTGTACCTTT